TTGCGCATTTCTGCTGTCTCTAAGATCTCATCCTATAAAAATAAACCATATTTTCGCTGTGGAGCATTTATGAGCTTTGTCTAAGTAACTAGCCGATATTTTTTTGTCTACTAGCCGATATTTGTTACTTTGCGTTATCCTTCAGCATTTTATTATTTGATTATTGCCATTAAACTAAAAGAAAAAATATTTTAAATTGATAAATATCCAAATTTATATCTAGTTAATTTTTCTCAATTTTATTAGTATAAAATTAAATATTTTGACCATATTTCGGTGACCCATAGTAGTACTTTTACCCTATCAATAAGGTCCTCAACTTAAGCGTGTTTTTGTTTAAGTTGACAATTGTGCCATTTAAAAACTAAGACAATATGGTGTAATACAGCGAAAACGAAATTAGTAAACAATTCAAATAAGATATATATATATACAATACAATTTGTCAGAGAAAGAACAATACGCTCCGTATATTCCACTGTGTTCGACGCGTTAACCAGAACCATAACGCATTTCTCAATTTATTGCACATTTCTCATATTATAATTTTTTTTCTAGCTGGTGTGGATATTCCATACAGTTGTTCGGTCTTCACGGTTTGTCTTTCCACTTTGGAATTATGTTTGAATAGAGTGTATTTGGGGACACCTGTCAAGTAAAGAATAGATAGCGAAGAGAAATGAGAAGTATTTCTCCGAATCTGCCATGGAACGTCGAATGCGTCTTCGTGACATCGTATTTATTTTGAAGAAAATATGTTTCTGGATAGACAGTAGGATCCCAATTGCCAATAAGATAAATATCGGCCAATTCAGAATATCAGAAATCAAGAGGCATACCCCTATGGCCAGTATAAAAGGATTCCAAATATCAGATTTTAGAAGTCTAAAAAAAATTCTATATTCAAGTACGGAATTACTTATTATGAGATATATTTCAGTATATGAAGCATCCTTTTCTTATTTCTCTAGGGATGGAATTTTATTCTGAGATACTTCTTTTTTATAAAAGAACCTTTGTTATTAAACTTATAAAAATTAAACAATCTTCCATTTAATACTCACATGATAAACAGCAAAACAAACTTTTTATAAAAGGATTCCAAATATCAGATTTTAGATGTCTAAAAAAATTATATACTCAAGTACATAATTACTTATTATGTGATATATTTCAGTATATAAAGCATCCTTTTCTTTTTTCTCTAGGGATGAAATTTTGTACTGAGATGCTTCTTCTTTATAAAAGACCTTTGTTATTACAGTTATAAAAATTAAACAATGTTCCATTAATTATTCACACAATAAACAGCAAAACAAACTTTTTATAAAAGGATTCCAAATATCAGATTTTAGAAGTCTAAAAAAATTCTATATTCAAGTACAGAATTACTTATTATGAGATATATTTCAGTAAATAAATCATCCTTTTCTTATTTCTCTAGGGAGGGAATTTTATACAGAGATTCTTCTTTTTTATAAAAGAACCTTTGTTATTAAACTTATAAAAATTAAACAATCTTCCATTTGATACTCACACGATAAACAGCACAACAACCTTTTTACGCTTCAAATATTAGAAGAAAAAATAACTTGCAGTTAATGAGTAAAAATATTTATTAGGTGACGCGAAAAAGGCACACTGGAAGGGAGAAAATTCATCTCGGTTGCAGTTAAGCAGAAACAATATCGATATTAATCAATCAATATAAAATTTAAAATGGCAACGTGGTGAAATTAAATAAAACTGAGAAAACTAATTTAATTAAGCATGAAAGTTTAATTTACGAGCGGAAAACTACAAAACTAATCTAACGAAGCTATGCTATGGAAGTTTTGACGCAAGTGTGACGCAGCAACAAGTATTACGAATCTCACAGGACATAGTTCTATCAAAAAATGTGTATTAATGAAAAAAATTTGAAGGGTTTAGTAACACACTTATTAACGCTAGTTAGTAAGTGTGTCGGCCAATATAAAGGCTGACTAACAAGGCAAGAATCCAGTGATCAGTTATGCCTTGTTAGAGTTAGACATAGTCCTAACTCTAACAAGGAACAAGTTTTGCTGTCTCATTTTTGCTGATATCGTAACATACATTTAACTAGGCATAATTCTAGTTCTAAATAAAAATGTGTACTAATGAAACATTCTGTGCTGATTTTAGCATTAAGACATAGTCCTTATTAACAAGACAATCCTTATTAAATTATTAATAATTATTAACTAGTCCTAATTCTCACACGAATAAGTTTTATTGCCTCATTTTTGGTCATGTAGTACCTTTAACTAGACAATTTTCTAGTTCTAAATAAAAATGTGTACTAATGAAACATTCTATGATGATTTTAAAACTTATTAACCAGACTTAGCCCTAACTCAAAACAAAGATACGTTTTATTGTATCATTTTTGATAATATAGTAACAATACATTTAACTAGGCATTGTTCTAGTTCTAAATAAAAATGTGTTCTAATGAAACATTCTATGATGAGTTTAGTAACACACTTATTAACTAGACATAGTCCTATCTCTAACAAATAATAAGTTTTAATGTCTTATTTTTGCTGATATAATAACACACATACAGCTAGGCATAGTGCTAGTTCTAAATAAGAATGTATACTAATGACACATTTTACGATGATGTTAGTAACATACTTATAACTAGATACATATTTGATTCATAAAAAAACCAATATTAATATAAAATTTCTTGTAATTGCTCTTAGCTGTTTAGATGCCAATGTTTCAAAAATGGAACATGGTTTTTGCGTTTGAATTTAATGAGTAATTAAAATCTGAATACTATTATTTTTCATGCGTTTAAAATTTACTTTATGTAATATTTTTTTTACATTTAATTCAGGTTAATTTCCACAATTCTTTAATTTTTTTCAATGATTTTTAGATATTTTATATAATTTTTAAATTTTTATGCTGCTTGTAATGTAATTTACCGAAAATCTAATTTTTTAAAATACGACTACAATACTTACAAGTTTTTAAAGGAATATTATAACACTCTGTTCGGCATCGAATTCAATTTTTGTTTTTAAATTTTAGAGTAAAAATTTTAAGTTAAAATCTAATATTCCATTTTTGGAACTTAAGTGTTTAACCCCTCAACGATCGGTTAATTTTCAAGAAAATGGTCATAAAAGTGCCTATTTTGTTAACTACACGTATTTGATTTGTGCTGACATCTAGTTTAAAATTAACCAACCATCTACAATTACCTTAAACATATCCTAGTACTGCCATCTGGTGTGTAAAAAGAGAAATAAACAATTTTCTGGGCAAAAGAAACGAATTAATTTCATTCTTATTGGCGCGTTACTACTGAACACTCCAGCCCGGACATTTCACTGGAGCGAGAAATAGAGGGCGAAACCTCACCCCGTCATTTTCACGGGAATGGGAAGGAAGGGGTTCAGGGGTTCTATTTTTAGATTTTAAGGGATTCATTGAACAATGATGACTGCGTTTCTTTCAGTTGATATTAGAACACTTATTCAAGATAAATAATGATTTTTGAATAGAAAAAAAGGATTAAATGACTTTTGATTCAACTTCCTTTCTTATGAATTCTCGGGTGGCTATAGTGACAGAATATTTGGAAAGTAATACAACTTATACACTCATTCATTCCCAGTGTTTTCTCTTTCTTTTGAAATTTTAACTATTGAAAAGAATTTCTTTCTGATAAGTTATTTTACTCCTTTGCCTTGTTTGACAATGATGGAGTTAAGACTTAACATCAAAGGGGTTTGTTCAATGTGTTATCATCAATGGTATTCGATAGAATCTTGCTTTTGATAGTTTTTGCTTTCCGAGTCATGTGATTTATTTTGCTTTTGTGATAAAATTTGTTGTTACAGATTGAGTTAAAGAAAATTGTGTACTTTTTTTTTATTTACCTCGTTTACAAATTTTGCTTGCTATGTCTCTGAGATGCATAACGATACAACAAACATAGGCCTTGTTAAGATCATTTTCTGATTCAGATTTGCAAGATCTAAATACTTTTCAGCTAGATCATGATGCACGAAGAGTTTTAATTGTTACGAAAAATATGGATGAAGGTAACTTCTAGCTTGTTGTTTGATTCTATGTCTGTAGAAAATTGTTTGTAAAAGTAATTTTAGGGAAGATGAGATAAAAAATGAAATCCTAATGTAGAGTGCATATAGAAAATGAAAAAGTGACTGCCAAATTATAAAATTGTATATGAAATTTAATGAACCAATAGGATTGAAAAAAAACGGAAAACAATTTTGTAAAAATAACATATGCTCCTTTTGACGTATTTTAAAAACTATTCCTGGAAAATATGTAGAATATCTCGGCAATATATCGGGTCATTAAGTATGAAACTTCCGATTTGAGACCGAAAGTTTGGTTTATTATATCTCGGGCAAGAAATAATATAATTAATAAAAATATGCTCCTAAACTATCAACACAACATTGCCATTTTAACGATAGCTTATTAATACCGCTAGAGAAAAAATCTGGAGAGCAGCTGGTGATGAAATTCCGAAATGCATTTTCGACAGCATGTTGGGAATGAAATATTTTTCCTTGCAAAAAATTGTCCAAAGCTAAGAAAAAATGGTAATCAGTCGGCACGAGATCTGGCGAGTACGGAAGGAGAGAAAAGGTTTTCAGGCCCGGTTTCTGTAGCTTAACTAACGTCGATCATGCAATGTGTGGTCGAGCGTTGTCCTGCAGAAGGATTGGTCTGTCTTTGTTGACCAATCTAGTCTGCTTAATTTGTAGCTGCCTCATCATTTCTTCTAACTGTTCACAGTAGAGGTCCCCCGTTATCAGTTGCCCAGGTCTCATAAAACTATAGTGTATAACACCCGCGCTGGACCACCAAACAGACGCCATTAGTTTTTTTTTTGGTGTATACTCGGCATTTGGGTGCGTTTTGGCACTTCATCTTTATCCAACCATTGTGCCAAACGCTTGCGATTATCAAAAAGTATCCACTTTTCATTGCACGTGACTATCCGGTGCGAAAATGGATCGAACTCTTAGTCTTGATACCAAAGAACAACAAGCCTCGGAGCAGTTCCGTTGATGACGCTCACTCATCTCATGCGAAACGCACTTATCCTGCTTTTTTTTTACTTTTCCGATTGCTTTCACATGACTTAATATTGTTGGGATGGTAACTTCAAACCTTGATACTAATTCACTTGTCGTTTCAGATGGATTTGCTTCCATTACAGCTTTCAGCTGGTTGTCATCCACTTTGCTCTCAGACCGCCCACGTGGTTCACTTTGAAGATCAAAATCTCCAGATCGGAATTTAATGAACCATCGAAGTACTGTAAGTTCCTTAGCTGCATCCTTGCCAAGCACTTCGTTAACATTTTGGCTTGTCTGCGCTGCATTAGTTCCATGACAGAACTCATGTTCGAAAATAACTCGCATTTTTGTCTTATCCATGGCTTACAATATTTAACCTCCTGACGACAATACGTTAGACTATTAAAAACAAAAAAGTGCATCTGATAGCCAGATGGCGTATATTCTCAATACAAAAAAAAATAAAGGACGATCGAAGTGAAATATAGGAGACATCTGGTATCAAACTTGAGTCTTTAGGTAATCGGACATTTCATACTTAATGACCCAATATAATCATTTTATTCTTTTAAAAACGTTTAAAGTATTAATATGTTTCCCAAAATAATATTTTACATTTTCACGGATTTCTAATTGAATACCACTTTTTCCCGACCGAAGACAAACGCTGAAACACTTTTGAAGCGATCACCTTCAGTAAAAAAAGCCACCGCCAAACGTCTGTGTTCCAAAAATAGAACATTGTTGAAAACGCGAAAAAAAATTTTTTTTATTCAATTTTAATATTTTATATTCTGTCAATGCTTTTTTAATTTAGCATTCAAGCAGTTAATTTTTCTATTGAACTAAGATTCTATCATGATACCTAAAAAAGTTTAGTTTTAAATTGAGTTTGAAAAATTATTTTGACATTTCATTAATTTTTGCGACTTTTCAATGTGCCAATGAAAAATTAAGAAAAGATTGACACCGAAGTAAATAAAATTTTTAAGAAAGCTTCAAAATTTTTTGTGGTGGCTCTTTTATCCAGAATAAAAACCATTTATTCGTCCACCAATAATTCGAAAGGTGTTTTACAAAAATAGTTGGAGAATTGGATTCATATAAACTTTCGTTAAAAGTAATTCGAAGAGAGGCAATGTAGAAATTAATAAATGTCGGAAAGTTACAAAGAGTTTCTAAGCGTTTACAAAACACCGAAACAAATTTACTTCAGTAAAGTGAAATAAATGGAATTTCTTTTTACTATTGACGATATAAGAGAAAAAGAATTCATAGAATAATGAAGATAAATTATGGTACATACTGTTTAGCAGACTCTAACACAGTCTCTGTTTTGTTTCTGTTTTCGATGTAGATTTTCAAGAAGGACTTTAAAAAACAAAAACAGAAGTTTATACGCGTTAAGTTCTGAGAAAATAGAATTTATTTTATAACAAAGAAAAATTCCGGTAAATTTTAATAGAGACTGATTCGTTTCCCGATCTGGATTCTCAGTAAATGCACTGTAAAAACTTTTGTGATTTTGTTGCCCCCATTTTTGTTGTAGAGGTAAATTAAATTTTTGTAAACAGCTTATAGTCTCATTTTTTATTTACTTTTTCACTGTTTAGTTTTTTTTATTTTCTTGTTCATTTTTTTTGTGTTTTTGATTATTGACAGCATGTATTTTTATGCTCAACCGAATCAATTTTAATTGCTTCATAGCAAAAATATCTCGTTCAAAAAACAAGCACATTCTTTGTAATATTTTTTTTACAATGCCCACCTGTGTTAACATTCGTCAATTCAGGTATATACAGGTCGATTTTGTTGGCCTCTCTTTCAGGGGCACCATATTAGGTGGGCCAACATCGCTCCCACAGTGAGGACAGATAGTACAGAGAAGGAAAGAACATCCATGCCTTGCCCGGTATTCGAACCTAGAACCTTTCTGATGCAGGGACAGTTCCCTCTCCCCTACACAGGCCGGTCGGCTTTCTTTGTAATATATTCACATTAATTCTTTTAAGCAATTGCTTAAAAATGTGTTTAATTTACCTCATTACTAAAAAATGGTGGTAGTTATACATGAATTTTTTTTACAGTGTACGAAGTAAGCTGGTATTTCTCAAATTTATGAAAAAGGAATTTGTAGAATAATAACGAAATATTTTAATGCGCAATATTTTACAATTTCTAATGTAATTTCAATTGAATTAGCATGATATATTTACAATAAATGTTAAAAAAAAGAAGAAAGTTAATGCCTGTTACATCATCTTCTTGCTATTAAATATTTGGAGTGAGACTTTTGACTTCAGTGATTCCAAAACTTCCTATTTTAGTGTAGTTTGTTTTAATACACGGTAAAAATTGTCAGCTCAATAATAACAGTATGAAGTACCGGCCCTTTGGATGCATCATCTGTCTATTTTACCTTATCTATTTTACCTTAAATCCCATTTGTACCGTAATATACTACACCTAAATTTTTTACGACAATATTTCTTTCTTTAAAGTGTTTCAATGATTTTACGGTATTTATTAATGTAAAAATTACGGTATATGAGAATTTTCGTTCCGTAACATGTTCTAGTAAAAATGGTTTTTACGGTAAAAAGTACCGACTCTCAGGGTGTATCATTTGATTCTTAATTTTTTTTTGCAGTATAATACTTTTTATTACGAATTGAATGTATTGTGGATTGTTTTTTTTTTCTTTTTTTTTCTATTTTGTTCTGTATTCTCGATTATGTGCTTAGAATGTTTATCAAAAACTAGTTTCAGGGTTATTTGAACTTTTTCAAACTATCTCTGCTACAGTAAAGATAAATGGCCCTAAAATTATGCAGCGTATTTTCAACGAAGGTATTATTGTTGAAAAAATTAACGTATTTTCAGCAACAATACATTTTTCTGACAGTTTTAAATATAGTACATTTTGAAACATAACGTAATTTTCGTATTGGGCAAATAACAAACAACAAAATGACATTATCTGTATTTCCATTCAATTAATTTGTCCCTTCGCAGTTAATTTAAAAGCTTGAAATCTCAAAACTAGATAATTACAAATAATTATCACTCACTATTATTATTCAATTTAATGAATATAAATAAAATTAATCTAGTTTTAGTTCATTAAAACAAAGGTTACATGTTTTCGTTTTCTTTGGAGAAATGATTTTCTGTGCTTCTATGAGACAATAAAGAAAAATTAAAGAAAAAAAATGATGTAAGAAAAGTTAAAAAGAAAATAATAACAAAACATATTTCTTCGTTAGAAAAATTACATAAAATATGCGAAATTCAACTTTAAAAGCATTCCTTTTTTAACAGAAAAATGTGTTTTTAATTGTATAATATTCTTTGAAATATAAATTGCATTTGTTTGATAACATTTTACGCATTAAAAATTTACGACGATAAAGGTGATATTATAAACAAAAAATAAAAATAGCAGAACTACAAATCAAAACGAATTATCATTTTCCTTTGTTTTTTTTATGGTAAAGGTTGAATATAGAATTAAGTCTAGGCTGATGAAATCCGGGAAAGTAGTGCAAAAAATAGCTGCAATTCGTTGCGAATGGCTCCCCGATGAACTCTGATACCACGTGCTTGGGAATGTTAATGTCTGCAAGCGTTTTGTTAAATTGATGCTCTCAGAGGCACAATTGATTCGGAGTTTTTTTGTTCTTGATACTGTTTAGTGATTCGCTAAGAAGATTTGACAAAGAGGCAGCAACGGGATGATTTGAATGCTTACTTTATGTAACGTTTCAAGTCTCTAAGGAATTCCAATGAGTTAATAAAAGAAATATCATGATTTGTAAATATATGGATGCATTTACTTGAAAAAGAACTTTATTAGATAATTTGTGCTCTCTGCGTTTTTCCAAACTTAATTAGTTCGCTTTCCTGTTCTGCAAATTTTGCTTTTCCAAATAAAGCTGAACTCACTTTGATATATATTTGCTTTATAGTGATGGTTTAGGAGTTTTTAGAATAGCATAGAAGATTTTTAAAATTATCTTATACTTTAGTATTTTTTTTTTATTTCAGAATTTAATAATTTTTAACATGTATAATGAAGAACTGAAGAAACAATGCTTAATATGTATTAAAATAAAATTCACAGCAAAGAAAAGGGTGAAACTCTGTGTTATGTAGTCTAAAGCAAAAAGGAACGTGAATCAGAACAAAAGAAAATACAATCATACATAATGTGCATTTAAATAAAATTCACAGCAAAGAAAAGGGTAAAACTCTGTGTTATGTAGTCTAAAGCAAAAAAAGAACGTGAATCAGAACAAAAGAAAATACAATCATACTTAATGTGCATTAAAATAAAATTCACAGCAGAGAAAAGGGTAAAACTCTGTGTTATGTAGTCCAAAGCAAAAAAGAACGTGAATCAGAACAAAAGAAAATACAATCATACATAATGTGCATTAAAATAAAATTCACAGCAAAGAAAAGGGTAAAACTCTGTGTTATGTAGTCTAAAGCAAACTAGAACGTGAATCAGAACTAAAGAAAATACAATCATACATAATGTGCATTAAAATAAAATTCACAGCAGAGAAAAGGGTAAAACTCTGTGTTATGTAGTCTAAAGCAAAAAAGAACGTGAATCAGAACAAAAGAAAATACAATCATGCATAATGTGCATTTAAATAAAATTCACACCAAAAAAAAAATTTAAAACTTTGTTTTATGAAGACTAAAGTAAAAAGACTGGAATAAAGCACAATAGAAAGTACTTAAATAAATGGATGTACTATAATTTCAGTTTCGTAAACAAGAACCTTTCTCAGGGTTTAAATGCCAAATGAATTAAGAGAAGAAAAGAGACAATGAGGAGATAAGAAACAGGTGTGAGGGGAGTTGGCGGGAACCCCATGGAGCAAAAAAATTTAATTAAAATAGGCTTTCAAATAACGGTGGGATACCCTAAAGATTAAACCACTTTACACATGTTTGTGCCTTTTATTTTTTTACCTTCATTTGTCGTTTAAGACTCTGAGAAAGGTTCTTGCTTACAGAAATGAAACTATAGTATGTCAATTTATGTAATTCAATTTGAACATTATTCATGTTATTTTTTGTTTTAAAATAATAAAATTAATAATAAAAAAAACAATAAAATTGATTTGAAATTATTCTCGTATCTGCGTTCATTTCAAACAATTTATATGCATTAGATTCGGAAACAAGTTTCCATTCCATAGAGGTTAAAGTTTTGCTAACAAATATATAGAATAGTGTTAAAAGACATAGGTCATTTTATTATCAGAGATGGCTCAATAATTTATTAGAATAATATTGAGAAAAAATAATCGTCAAAACTTCTTTATATATGACACTGTAAATAT